TAAAGCCTACCTGTACACGGAATGAGAAATATTTAGAAAGTCTTACAGGTTCGCGAAAAAAAAAAAAAGTTCCAGTATACCGTTTATGTCGAGAAAGAGTAGTAATCTTGATCGTAAGAAGCGCCATATTGCCAGACGTCACTTCTTTCCTTTTCATTAGTAAAATTACGCTTTATAAATATGGCTCGCATACTGCTCGTTGACGACATATTTGCTTTGTCCCGTCAGAGATCCAAGTCTCGTTTAATGTCTCGTCGCTGTTAATGTGCACGCGAGTTTTTCCGAGTAAATATTCACATGTATTCGTCAGAGCGCTCGAGGGGAACACTGCGCCGTGCGGGATGCATAATAAATACGCCTTTCTGTCTCTGTCATGTTGCACGACGGTGCAATCGAGAGTGTGAGGTAAGAACGGAACCGCGAGAGCAAGAGAGAGAGAGAGAGAGAGAGAGAGAGAGAGAGAATGCATTTGTTAATTCAACGCACCAATACACTCGCGCGCGTAAGCGGTACCATCGAGTACCAGCGCAATTCGCGTAGAGAATAGCGCGCGAATTCTCGCTGCGACACGTGCGATGTCGATCGCACCTTTTCGCGAGAGAAGAATCGAGACGCAATCAAATAGGAAAATAACACGTCTCTAATGAAGAACGATCGTTATGAATTGTTCTCCACGAAGCGGAAGAAGAAAAGATTATCGAGTAACGAAATATTGGTTTTTCTGTCCGCGCGATAATCGCGCTTCTACTACGTGCCGCACGTTTACTATATTTACATTTTATTATCTTCGTATCATCTTGTTTCTTATACTTTGTTTCCCTTTTGCGTTCTGGCATTCTGAGATTCCCTCTCTTGGGTAAGCGAAATTAATAATTAATGCTTTGGATTTTGAAAATCGAATTGAAAAACGTAGAGCTTTATATAAATAAATAATCACGTACTCTAAATAGATTAACTGAGAGATGCAATGAGTTGCAATATATAATCTGAACTTAATGAATATGACGGAGTCATGAAACATATGTCAAGGAGTCTATAACTTTATAAGCATTTCTAATTAGAAGACAGAAACCCGACACAATCACTTAAGCGGAACTTCCTCTACCAAAAGGAGTTTATTACAGAAGAAACAAAAGTTCTTCAGATGCTGATTCAATGCTCCTTTTATGCTCAACTTTAGAACACATTTTACACAAATGTGTTTAGCGAAGGAGTTTAATTTAAGGAATTAGTTTAAGCTTAGTTTAAAGAAATCCAGAGATAATTTATCATTTATTGTTAATCCGTGGATATCAACAATCTTTTGGCATATAGATAAATGAATATGATAAAAATGTTTAAAACAACAGTATTTCGATCGTTAAATCGGAATTTTCGTGAAGACAAGTCATCCGCCCTCGGAAAAAAACATAATGGCAGCAACCATAAAGGTGACAACTATACAGTTTTATGTGTAAAATTAATGTATAAAACATAAGTAAATGCAAGAACTTTATTCAACTATTTTACATTAATTCTACAGTAAAGAGTAAAATCTCACTCTTAAAAATTGACAATTGGGCTACTCTTTTTTAACACTGGCTCAATAGTCACTCTTTGTCATTCTTTAGCATTAGATTCCACTCCAAAGATTTTAAAGAGTACACATAAAACTTGTATAGTTGCTACTGTTATGTCTTTCTACCATCGGTAATATCATGTCGATACATATCAGAGCGATTAAACATTGAAAATGAGCTCTACTTCACATTTCTTCTTAAAATCACGATGTCGCGTGAGATTTGAAGAGAAGCTAGACTAGCGTCACACAGAGAAACTCACTCGGAGGAGAAACCAAAGAGAGTGTTGTGCCTAGTTCTCTCTAAGGTGAGAGTCTCCAGCTCGACTCGCGACGGGCCTTTTATTTACATCGTGCGAAAATGAGCGACCGCCCGTCCAAATGATAAAGGCCTTTCGACCTATCGACGAAATAAAGAATAAGCCGCGTGACTGGCATCGATTACTATTAACACATATTCGACTACCGATTTGGTTTTGATCTCGCTGAACTACAGTTACTACGTAATCAATGTTTGCAAATTTCGCAAATCAAGTTCCGATCAAACGATATGTGCTACATTCCAAATAGCAATTTAAAAGTCAAACGTGTAAACTATGTTAAAAATATTAAAATTTTGTAATTAAGAATAATATTTGATTTAATTCATCCACGATGGAAAAATGTTTAACTAACAAAGTAAACGCTCGAAAATATCCTTGTATCGTATCGTATTATACATTAGATAAAGAAAACGATCGATATGTATATCGGTTAAAAATATTGATATTTCCAGATTATGTATATATCTGGACAAGATAACGGCAGTAAATTGATAAACGAGAATTTTCAAATAGATTATACAGGAATATACTGTAATTGAAATATATCGTCTATTTAGTTAATTTAGAAAAACAATTCCGATAATGACTTCAGTATCGATAAGAAATGTACATATTTGTGATTAATCAACTACGGTCCCCGATTTAGAAATTTGTAAATTATCACCTACAAGGTTTTCTTTATCAAAGATACTTTAACGTTTTCCTTCAACTGATAATGTTCTACAATTGTCGACCACATCGATGACGCGTCGCAAGATATCGACGATATCACGAGAATAAATATCGTTGTATGTATGTATATATATATATATATATACATGTTTGTGTATATTATATATATATATATGTCGTGTATATTATATATATAATGTATGTATGTGGGTGTGTTTATTTTATATATATAAAATAAACATCAAGAAACGTCTGCGATCGATAAACGTCGCGTTTGAAATCTCGATGCACCTGCCGATATCTCGGAGAAAATTTCTTTCGCTTTCTAAATGTCGTTATTTTCTTGCTGTTACAGACGTAGCTCCATTAGCTACATAAATGTAGACGCATGTTGGTGCTCCTAAGGTTCTCCACTCTCAATCCACTCGCCTGCGTTGCCTGATATTTTTCCCGCTCGTATGCCCACGCTATCTCGCGTTATACAGCGTGAGTTCTTGGGAGATCTTAGGTCTGTTTTTTTTTTTTAGCTGAATTAGTATACACGTTTGTTGCCCTAGCCGTGGGCAGCTTGATGAATCAGTGACTTTTAAACAGAAAACTATATCGAAAAATAAGTCAAATTTAAAAAAAAAGTAAAAAGAAGTCACTGACTTAACTGTTTACGTATATTTGATATTTGGCTAAAGTGAGAAAAAAGTTGTAGGACATTTTAGTGTAAGAATAAAAAAAACAGACCCTTTGAATCACGCGTGTCGCGATCATGTTCGTGCTCGATCGTCTTCTTGGAAGGATCGGCAAACGCGAATGACGATGCAACGTGGAAAGAGATTCGATCGCGGAAGACCGACCTCGAAACGATACGATCGAGGATTTTAATATCCACCCGGCGGCAACGTTATCTTCGACCCTTATCGCGTAAAATAATTTCTAGCAAAAATAAAGCACTAAAAGAACGAGTTCGTAATTATACGGACAGAATGGATTGATCGGCCCTTTGATCTCACACATACAAAGAGAAGGATGGAGAACTTGCGAGAACTCACGATCTGTATACAATGTATACGTATGTGGTATTTGATAAATTCGAAGATCTTCGAGTTTTCGGAAACAAATGAATTAATCCTCAAACATTGTTGGCATGCCATGGAAAGTGACCACTTTAAGAGCCTATTTCGAAAATTCTACTTTGTGATTTCTAAAGAACAAGCTTGTGAGTTTACAGAATAAAGCTAACAGTAAGCTAATCGCTCCTCTTTTTCTTCCAGTTTTTTTCTCTTCACAGTGACTATAGACGTGAATAAACGAACGCGAGATAGTTTATTCGAATAAATTCTATAGAATTTAGACTCGGTTGTACCAATATTACTTTGACTTTAAGCAAGACTTAAAACTCTCTGTCTCATTTTAAAGCAAAAGAGAGACAGAGAAAGAGAGAGAGAGAGAGAGAGAGAGAGAGAGAGAGAGAGAGAGAGAGATTTAAACTTTGCTTAAAGTCAAAAGGCCTGTTCTTTTTGACTGAACTTTTGCATTGTTCATCTTTCTTCCTTTTCTCCCGCAGGAAAGAAGAGGAAGAAAAATAAACTGCAAAAGTTCAGCCAAAAAGAAGAGGCCTAAAGTAACGTTGGTGCAACCTTAGCCGTTTCGCGATACGAACCAATTGGATCGAATGCGAGCAAAAGCAAAAACTCGCATTTATTGTCCGTTCTACGTATACCTGACTGGAGTAGAAAAATCTACCTGTGCATATCCGGTCTCGAATGGAAAGGCATATGGGACCGAGCAAAGAACAGGTCAGAAAATTCTGGAAAAAAAAGTTTGATGCGGAATTCCGTACAGTACTTATTAGTATCGCAAAATATGACAATACCCTTCGGGGGTTAAGATTTGTTTACTTAACAATACGCGAGATTCAAGCGTGACGAAATGTCGTCCCTGTCCTTTGTGTATTTTATGTACGATATGCGATGTCGAACATCGCATTTTTCTAAATATAATCGGCAAGAAATATTTACTTATCGATACGTCTTATCAGTAAAAATTTAAACGATGCAGAAGATTCGAAGAGAACGTCGTGTACGATATTTAAATAAACAAAGCCTGCGGCAGACGGCGCGATTTTTCTTGCTGGATTGCTTGCGCGATTTAATAAATTAGGTACTATAAATTCCAAGTTCTGATGCAATTCTAGTAATTTACTAAATCACAAGTAAACCAAGAGGAAAAATCACACCGTTTGCCGCAGGCTTAATTATACACGACGGCAGCAGAGATAAATCGACGAATGTACACATTTTTACCGATATTGTAGATGAACTTTAATCTCAGTTTAATTTACTCTTTATCCTTTTCTAATTTCCAGCGTCTACTAGAAAAAAAGAACAAGCAAGTTGAACCAAGATTAAAGTGAATCTACATCCGTAGAGACAAGCCAGAGCAGGAGTCCTTACCTTAAAGAGATGCTCGCCGCACTCGAACATGGAAGTATTACTCATGACGGCGGTCGACATGGTCCTCGGTTGTCGCACAAAAACACACTTAGTATCTGGAGCCCGTTGTCCGCCTTCCTTCCGATCTTTCCCTCCTTCTGCCACTCGTCCCTCGGGCGCGAAAAATGTTTGGTAGCGCAGGTCGAACAGTCGGCGTTGACGGTCAGCGGAAGGGAGAGAGGGGGGGGGGGGGGGGGG